GTGTCTCTCTAACTAATTTATTAGGTTGCATCTTCATATTTGTAAGTTATGGTTCTGTTGTTTATGTATTGTTGCTACTTTAATTTGTAGTTTTCTTCCAGAGGTGTCTCTAAGTTTAGTGACTTTACTAATGGTATAACTTAAGTTTAATGTGAATATTCTCATGGCTCTATTTTCCGTCTGCTTTAGTTTTTTTGAGTTGCTGGGTTTTATCTAGACGTATGTGTTTTGTCTATTACCAAATTGGACAATAAAAAAAGTATATATTTTTTTGTTTATGTTCAAACATTGTGAAGTCTACATATTTATTACTTTCTAAATCTGTTTAGGGTTTTCCTTATGGTGCTAATCCTGATGAGCAAGAGAGAGTTAGCTGCCCTAATGCCAGATACACCAAAGGAGAATATTTAGTAAGTAAGCTAAAATTAAAGCTCACATTTTTTAAAATCCATTTATGTATTGCGGAACAAGATTTACGATTATAACATATTTTTGTATTATTAAAAAATAAAATGGGGGCTAAGGCTAGTGTAATATGAATGTGTATACTCTTTTAAATATACAAAGAAAAAAATATATGTTCATATTTTACAAAACCAATATTTATTCCTAACGGTAATCCAGTAGTCAAATTTTTTTTTGGTCAATTATAATTATCAACAAAAAAAAAAAAAATATTGTGATATACATTTTGAAAGAATTACAGACTTGTTTTAACTTTTTACTTCTTTATATTACATTTAAGACCCACATCAATTTTAAGTGCCTTTATTATTATTATTGCTTATCAATAACACATTTTTCATGCATTTATAGCACGCTCAGTATTTTGTGGTCCAATCTCTTTTAAAGATATACCAAAAATGGGGGAATCTGGGAGAATGTTATTGTCCTGCCTTACGATTTTCAGCAAACACAACTTAGCTCGAGTTAAATCTCTTCTAAGTTGGGCTTTTAACTCAGGCCTCATTAGATGGATAGCCAGGTCAATAATGCCACTCACACCTATATATCAAATGATTGCAATTAGTCACTTTCTTTCTCAAACAGGTTGTAGAAAAACTTATCTGGATGCTGCCTGATGGTCATCAGGTAAAACGAGAAGTGGACTTAGTTCTTGATCGACTCTTTGAGACAATGTCTCCCATGCACTTTCATCTACGGGAAGTTATATTTGTAGTTTTTAATAAGGTAAAGTTAGCAGTGAAAAATTTTGGACAATCCTTGTTTTCTATTGGCTCAAATTAACCCTGCTTAATGTTTTCATAGTAACAGAAACTTTCTTTGTTGATCTTGAATTGTTACGCTCGTTATAATATTTTTATTTGGTTCCTTTAAAAAAAGGATATCTCACATTTTTCTAATAGCATTTCTTTTAAATAGCAGTCTATTTGTAACTTTCTAGACACCTCTTAGCAGACTCTTTTGTTTGTTGTTTTACATGCTTCGGACGTCCCTTTAGGTTTGAACATTTTAGCCCAAACATCTCCCGCAGTATTCTGGGGGGGGGGGGGGGGGGGGGTGACTGCAGTGTAGAAATCATTGAACCACTGTCCAGAGTGCATGCCACATGATTAGGCAACCATTTGACTAGGTGGCCTAGTAAAAGCATTATTCTTTTTGTTCTATTTTTGTTGTCACAAATGTCAAAAACTAAAAAATAATGCTTTTAAAATTATTCAACCTCTTAATCATGCAGAAATTAGGCTCAACATTCACTGTATAGGCATTTTGAAAGTGTATCCTCTGGGTTTTTAATAAAAAAATCAAGCATGCATAATAAATGCACATATTTATAAAAAATGTTTAAACCATATTAAAATGTCCAATTTTTATTTAGAACAGAAGTATAGCAGTAAGTCTTAATACAACCCCAAGAAGATGACAAACAAAGTCCTCAGCTACCCTCATTTCTCCTACAAAATCTGTTAATGCCAATAATGGTTTTATAGGGTACATTATCAGGTCATAAGTATGAATGCCACTTAAGTTTGATTTTGTGTGTTTAGTTTTGTTCTAGAGGATTGAACATTTATAGAACAGAATTAAAAGACTCAATGGTTTTTCAAAGTTATAAAGCTTATGGTTATATAACAATGAGTTTTACAGTATAATCTTTTCAGTCACACTTTTCCATAATTGAGAAAAAGATATGACATGTTTTTAATTGCTTTTATTTTGAGTGTAAAAGTAAAGTAAAGTTCCCCTTTCAGACCTTGTGTGCATTAAAATATATAAAGATGACTATTTTTATTGTTTTTTTTTAACATCTAAATAATATCTGAGCATTGTGACTATCCATAAACTTGATTTCTAAACAGGGAAAATCTACAACCGGTGCAGCTAAACGTTACATGAACAGACTTAGCTATGATTTTCTGGAGAGGTATCTCTATCTCATTTTGTACAATGCCTACCTACATATGGAGAAGAGTGGACATTTTCAGCGTTCTTTCACTCGCTGGATGACAGAGGTAATGTGGTAAACAGAAAATGCAAATATTTCTCACAGCTGATTTATCAAAATAATCAATACTATTTTTTCCTGGCTTGAATAGGTATTTGATGCTAGTTAAGCTAAACATTGTAGAATTTCTGACTTGTTTGAAGAAAGTAAAACATTGGGTCATAATGATTACCATATAAGCTTTAGGTGCTCCACATCGAATTCAACAAAAGCATTGCTCTATCTGCAGAGTGTATTACATATAAAAGTTGTGCGTATGCAATAGTTCTATCCACTAAACCATTCTTATTTGGCTTTGAATATTAAAGAACTAATAATATAATAATAATATAATTAAATAGAAGTTTTGTTTTTACAAGTGTAATAATAATATAATAAAATAGACGTTTTATTTTTCCTTTTTTTTTTAAATTTCCACTTTTTGTCTCTGTTATTAAAAAGACATTATGGTATTAAATACAAATCACATGCATCACTATAGTCCACTTATTTAGTAACCTTTTCGCCAGTATTTTATCATTTTGTTTTGTTTATTAATATCTGTTTTCTTAAGTTTTTTTCTATTTAATGTTTTTAATTTTAAACAAATATTCATCCCACTTCTTGTTTTGTTGTGCAGTCAGTTCATTACACACATTAAATGTTTTGAACAGAAATATTTTGTAACAAACTTGAAGAGAAACACATAGACATTGTACAACAAAAGAAAAGAAACTCACAAATCCAACAAGGCTTTACTCTACTAGTCCTAACCTGCACAATATATCTAAGCATAAACATTAAAAAATTGACTTGACTTATACATACATGAAATAAAAATATACACAAAGAGTTAATTTTAATTTTTATCACAAAATTTATAGGTTGCAGCTCCAGCTGGTGTGTATGAGCTGTTGGACAATCTTGGTTTCTTCACACTAGAGAGTTCACCCTCGGAATTCAGCAGACTTAAAAATCGAATCTTGGATCGTCAACAGAAGTTGCCTTTCTCAGGAGTTTTTGTTTAGTGCCTGACATTATAGTCAACCTGCAAACTGTATATAGAAACATTGCACTATTTACTATATTACCTTTGTAAAGAATGGAAGTTCTAAACTAGCATTTCTAAACTTTTTAAACTTTTTAAACTTTTTAAATAACGATGAAATGTGCAATTATATTGAAAACATTTGTAGCATAGAATAATAATTGTCAAAAAATCAAAACTTTTATATATAGATAGTAAAATGAACTGAAATTACAAAGGTCTACTAGAATTTTGATCCAATTTGAATGTGATACTAAAATCTTAATTTATAAACATAGTTTATGATTCAACACAGAAATCTGCTTTTAATGTCATTAATGTTGCAATGCTGTGTAATCCTAATTACTTTTTGTTATTTATTGTGATTTTGTAAATATTGATAGATTTAAAAATTATATTAATGTATAATACTGGTTTGTCCTCATTATATACATGCACACTCGAGTAAGGGATGGCTGTGTGGTCATGTGGTACTTGCTCTAGACTGTCATCTGTATAGTCCTGGGTTTGAACCCTGACAGTTGCCACACCTATGGGAAGCTTGGGCTATTATGAACCTCTGAACCATATAAAACAAAACAAAATAGGAATTTAATGAGAGAAAATGGCACACACTAAACTTGTGTTTTCTATCTCAGTGTTTCTCAAACTGTGTTCTGCAAAACGCAAGTGTTCCATGAAGCCGTAAAAGGTGTTGCATGAACTACTGGAATAATTAACTAGCAGGCCACCACATGAATTAACCTCTCTCAAAAATAAGCAAAGTGTTGCACTAAATACTCAGAATGTGTAAAGTGTTCTGTTAAAGAAATAGTTTGGGTAGCACTGGACTATCTCATTATTAAATAAGGTAGATATTAATAAAACATGAAGAGACATTGTAGTTGGCATATCAATGCTTGGATTATGTTTATAACAGATAACTCGAAATAATGCTTGATGTAAAAGGATTCTAAAGATCAGTTTAGTTACAAAGACATTAATTGAGGGCATGGTGGCTGAGTGCAAAGCACTTGGATTGCCTCAAATTTTAGGCCTCACCTGAGTTCACCCAAATTTAATGGATACCTGACATAAACTGAGGAAGTAAAGGCAGTTGGCTTTTGTGCTGCCCATATAAATGACTGTCATAGAAACATGAGGTTTTACATCATATGCCACCATAGACCATAAGATATGAAAGGAGCACCTTTATTTTACATTTTCTAGACATTTAATGTATCCCACATTTTAACAATGATAATTGTCAACAGCTCAACTTTAAATGATAGTATGGTTTACCAATGATTATGTATCTCTGTCAATGTTTATATTCGTTAACTTCAGATGTATTCCTATTTCTAATTTGTTTTGTAAATTCCTCCTGTACACAGTTTTCTAAAAAAAAAAATGCCAGTAGGAAACAGTACTACTTATGATCTTACAAAAAGGAAGATGTCAATTTTTTTTTAAATACATTGTTTTAATTTAAAGGTCTTTTTTTATTTGGGGGGGGGGGGGGGGGGGGGGGGGGGGGAAGGCACCTAAACCAGTAAGTTTTAAGATATTAGAACCTACAATTTGTATAAAAGCTATTTTCTTGTTCAACATCTTTTGATAAAATAGATTAAGGTCTTTGAAGTTAAGGATTATGAGATGTTTGCTGAATTTTATGAGATTTTAATAACTTGACTGTGACCTACATTGCTGGTAGTTAAATGTTTCCGATATTTGGTTCATTCATGAAATTTCATAAGAATGTTTCACATATTATATTGAAGATGATATGATGCATTAGAAATATTGTCATTTATGGTTTTAAAAAAATCTAGTGGTGTATCTGGTGTCCAGAATTAACTCTTTCTCTCCTAATTGACGATACCATTGTTGATTTGACCTCATTAAATTAAATTAATGTTTAATTTTATAAACTTTTTTTTGTGTTATATAAAAAGAGCATGCTTCTCCCTTTAATTGTATACCAACTCAAGCATTTTCTGATAACAAACGACAAAGCTATTGAAGCTTAATCATAACAGGGTAGTGAAATAGTAATGAACGAAATTAAGAATTCCGTTGAAACGTGGAAAAATAATTACGGAGAGAAAGAGTTAAGGAAGTGTTGATAAATTAGGTGTTTTTTTAAATGATATATGATCATTTTTGTGCACCTTTTGGCACTGCAGAGTAACCTTCTCTTTTCTAAGCTCTTCCATTTGTTGCACACACCATTTCAATATGGAGACATCCTTAGACTTTGACTTAAACCACTAACTTGTGGCAATAAAGAAGATATGATACAATTTTTTAAAAAATTACATTTTAACAGTTAAGTCTAGTTTATGAATATCTCCAACAATGCCAAAACATTTTTGCTTTATTTTTTAACACTGAGGTTAAAAAAAAAATTATGAAAGAAATGTAGAAAAGAGAACACCTGTTCCCTAACCTGTTTGTTTAAATAATGAGCTACTTTGTTGTGTGATATAATGTACTATATTGTATGACAGGATTGACATGTAAATTACCTAACAATACTCTTACTCCCATTTTCTAAATCAATTAAAGAAGAAAAACCTTTTAAAATATTTGAGTTGTTCTTTAGTTTTGTCCTTATCATGTCTACTAAGTAACTAATGATCTTTCAATAGAGCAACACCATTATTTTATTATTTATTTATTTAAAGTACATACAAATATAAATGAATATTATAAAAAATCTAGAGACAAACTGTTAATGATACTTTAATTTCATTTATATATGGCTGTCATTAAACACAAAGAAAGCTCTAGGTCAGTATACACAATTGAAAAAGCTCCAGGCACTCTCAGAACCAAAGACATCAATGAAAAGTTCACTAAATGCTTTGAAAATTATTACTTTACTTTAACCTAATGATGCATGCACAGCCCTATAACTGCACACAAAAAAGTTATCCCTAATTGAACCCCAATAAAATTTGAATTACTTATTGGAGCAAGCATCCAAATGAAGTTGTTATTGCTAAATTTACGTAAAATACATTTTGATTACTAAACCATTGGAGCCAGCATCAGCTTGATGATAGGACAATTCTGTTGATCCCTCTCTGTATCTGAAAGAGATTTTGTCCCTTCTACTCAGGTAGCCCACATTGACCTAATTACACCAATATGCAAAGAATAGATCTATCTTATCTTAGATGAATCCATTTAGCATAATTAGTAATAAAAGGTCTACAATTTGGGCCGTTTGGTTAAGTACAGGCTGATAATGGCCAGGTTTATAGGGATATGATCTGTTTCAGCTCAATGGGCAGTAAGATCTCAACATTTGGTCCATTGCTCTCAGGCTGTAACATTTGAGAAAAAAATGATATAAAACCTATAAACAATGATCATTAATATAAAATTAATTAATTACACATTCTTAATTTGTAAGATGTTCCTTCTATTTAGACAAATATCTCCCTACCACTCTGTCTTTTTATTTCACATTCAGAAAAATGAATACACCACAACATAGCCTATATATCATCATGTACACTTTAATACCAGTCACACCCAGGCACAGGTCTTATATCATTATCATATTCCTTACAGCCGCAACAGTTTGCTAATGAAAATACAAAGTGGTGCCATCAGAACATAGGGCAGGAATGTCGCAGACCCTCCTGCAAAAAAAAATGCAATAGTAAAAACTGAAGGTAGAAATATGTTTACAAATAAATACTATTCAAAAGTATATTTTTTAAAATTGACGCATTAACTTTTAGGGAAGTTCCATTTACTTTACTACAACAGAATAAATACTTAAATATTTAAGAAATTCATAAGTTCATACCTGTTGCAAGGTATGGTTAGCAATTTTTACTCTACATTTGCAGTATCCTCACTAATGATTATTTTGTTCTATTTCATTTAGGTTTCTTACTGAGAAATCTTGTTGCTAATATCCATACCTGCTTTATTACAATAAGGGTTCACAAGGTTTTTGAGCTTTGTCTCCCATGTGCTTAGTTCTGGTTTGTCTGTTTTACAGGCAGGATCTTGTCTGATACCATCAAAGCAACTAGCACCTGTTGCTGCACGCCTGTGATTATTTTAATAACATATAAATGGGACCGTATTCTGAGAATATAAATACCAGGGACTCCAAAAACATTAAAAATACTAGTAGACATACTTTTAACATAAAAACTTTATGTATAACTATCATAACAGCGTACATATTGATAAAAAAAACATTAAAAATTTAAACTATGTTTAAATTAAGTGTAATTTTATCAATTCGTTTGGATTAGTCATGTGATTGTTTTTGTTTAGCTTTTAGCTTTCTAAATGCGCTATGATCATATCTCTTGTCTGGACCAGTTGGGAAAGGGGGAGGGAAGAAAGGAGTATCTTTGTGAATGTTTACAAGATTGTTTTTTAAATGCATAAAAAAAATGTTCACTTAGGGTTCAAGGGTCCTTAAGGGGACAAGTTCAACTTATACTACTATATATGTCAAGTACAATTTCTTTCCCTTGTCCAAGGTACCTAACAAATAATTAATTACCAATAGCTAATTATAGTCAATAATAATAGTCAATAGATAATTAACTATTGGTTTGTTTTTTTTTTGTATTGATTCTTGTATTGCCAGGTAAAATAAATAATTGTGCAAAATTTCAGCTAAATGATATAACCTTTGTAATAATTAAAAAAAACAACAGCATTGGTCAGGTTTTTAACATAATTGCATCAATATCTTCTTTCGTTTAATTGGCTTGACTAATCTGGGTAATAATATCTCCTTTTTGGTAACTAGAACTTTATGATTCAGAATCATTGCTATATAATATGTATTTTAAAAACAATCAAACATTTGTATTTTATTATCAAATGTAAGTGCACAAGTCATATAATATATAGGAAGCTCTCTAAAATAGTTACGCTAATAACAAAAATATAAGTATGAAATAAAAAACAAAAATATTTGTCTATGTTCCATTTTTTTTTACATGTTTACAAAAGAAATTCTTTGATAATTTTATCTCAAATTTTTTTTTGAAGTGCCTAAAAAATAAAAAATCTAAAAAGAATGTCTGGATTATTTACTTGCAAAACTCATCTTTCTGTGTTGAGTTGTCCATGGCTGTGACAATTTTCTCATTCATATCACAGACTTTAATCCTGTCAGTACAGGAACCAATAGGAGCTGAGGGCAAATAATTTGTTAAGAAATGATGAGAGAATTTGAGTTCAATACAAACAATAATTTTTTTTTGGTTGGCGATAAAACAAAAACAAACTTGTCTAACATGACAGATTACGGACAATAAGTATGGAAATGTTGTAATATTGTGTCAACATACCTCCACAAGCTGGTGCTATTGTAACAGCCAGCATAGTTTCAAAATCGCTGACTATCATCTTCTCATTTATACAGATTGGATCCTTTCTAACAAAATCAAAGCAACTGACAGCACTATCAACCATTCTGTAAGAGAAACAATGATCTCATGCATTAATGTCATCCCTAAATTGTTCAGTTTTAGTTTCGCAGTGTAGTAGATGTTTGTTTTACATGTTTCGGATGTTCCTTCAGAGTTGAAGATAGTTTACTTCCTAGTCCAAACCTCCTGAAGGACGACGGGGGATGGGAGCGGGCAGGATTTGAACCCTCGACCGTTGATAAATCTAAACAACAGTCCAGCGCACAAACCGCACGACCAGGCACATCCAAAAATATGCAAAACATTTTACAAATATTAAAGCAAGATTGATGCTGTTATAATGTAAATAGGCAATTCATGATGAAGTCGTAATGAATTTAGCCAACTGCTGATTCAGCGTAATGAAAAATTAAGGCAAATGATGCTGTTGTTCAAATGTAAATATCCAATGAATGACTGTGTTAAAATGAAAGTAGGCAATGGAAGATTCTGATTTAATGTATAAAATAATTAGGCAATCAAAAGTAGATGCATTTAATAGATGATATAGTTACAATGGAATTAGACAACTGACGATTGTTCTTAAAGGAAATTTGGCAACGGATGTCTGAATTATTTAAAGCACTCAATTATTATAATGAATTTAGACAACTGAGGATGGTGTTATAAAAGATTTAAAAAATAAATGATCTTATATTTTCTGTTGGAATTGATGATAGTGTCATTTTTCAAAAATAAGATTTAAAGAAAGATGACCATTTACTTGCAAAATTGAGCTTTCTGGGTGTTATTATTGACTGTTTTCAGCTGTGCATTAATACCATTACAGGTCTCAATACGCTCAGTGCAGGAGCCAACAGTAGCTTTTTAAAAGAAGGGAAAATAAAAGCATATTATGTAAAGTTTTAAATTTTTTCCTATTTTTAAAATAGACTAAAGAGATCATATGAAATTACACTTAATTTTATTCATGTGATAAAAAGATCAAGATTAATCTATAAAGAGCTTACAAACAGTACACATTAAATGAATGATTACAAACAGAGAATCATTGTTGTTCATTGGAAGATACTTACGGCAGTGCTGTTGGCCTTCACCCGTTATAAACATTTGCCTCATGCTGTCTATTGTTGTTTTCAGCTGAGTCTCGCAGGGCAACTTACTAGTACATTCCAAAAAGTTGGCAGCAATTCTAAAATGAAACAAAAATATTATTGCAAGTTAGGGGCTAAAGCTAAAATATTTCTTTGTACAAAGCTTATATCAACTCAATCTGTCAGTCTGGTAAAATTTTTGTACACATTTTTTTCCCACTTTCCATTCTCAGATTAAGTTGAAATTGTACACAATTATTCAAAGGAACCTGACAAAGCATTAATCAATAAATCAAAATTAACCAATAAGTTAATTAATTAGTGGTTCTTTATTATTCTCTTTGATATTGAAACGGAAAAAAAAAATACATTATTGAGAGATAAAATGGTTTTAAATTTTGAGTTCTACCCCTTACATAAGCTTTTTTTTAATAAAAAAAGTATGTTTAATATGTTGCTTGCTTGTCTTTTAGCTTGTTTGTCTTACTGTCATTTTATGTAGAATCATATTTTATACTAGGATGTTTTTTTTTGGAGTGGAGGAAACTTTTAAATATTGACTATTACTTCACGTGGAGTATGCATCCAGGTTCTTATCTTTTATGATACAGACATTACTTTAAAAAGAAGATGATAACATTAATCAAGGACCTGTCACTGGCTTTCCTGGCTAGCTCAGGCAACCCATTCCATGCTCTAATAGGAAAGAAAGAGCATTTGTACAGATTTGTTATAGCAAAGCATATGGAACGAGGAATGTGCCTTTATCTTTGTGTCTTTCTGAGTATTTTATTAAATTTTGTTTTTGTATTTAAAGATTATGTGCTTTTACTAAAGGTGTTACTCTAGTCAAATGTGAATATTCGTTTGTTATGAATCTCACTGTTCTATTCTGTGTCTGTTCCAGTTTCTTAATGTTTTCTTGAGTTGAGTGGTCCCAAACAGAGGATGCATTTTCTATTATTGGCCTAACCTTTGAGTTGAGGGGTCCCAAACAGAGGATGCATTTTCTATTATTGGCCTAACCAGGGTTAAATAACATTTTAGTTTTATGCTCTTATTTGATTAATAG